TGTTAATTTTTAACATATTTTTTAAACAAATAAATTTTTCAAAAATCCACTTAGGCCATATTATTGGCCTTCTAAAACAGAAAAATTTGCACTTTTAATTTTTTGTCTAGGCCTAATAGTTCCTGAGATATTCGAGAAAATATGTTTTGCAACCCCAACTTTGGGGGCCATTTTCACCCCTTCAGCATGAACGATGGCCGATAAAAAAAAATACGTGTCAAATATTTTTTTGCGTTCTATATCATACTCAAAGCGCATCAAAATCGGCGATTGGCGATTGGGTAATGTCCCTTGTAAGAACGCCGCCGTCACCATCTGTCCTCTTCCCCAGCTTTCCTTTATGGAGTTAACAAAAATGTTGATATTGTCCATAGTCGACCTTCCTTTCCTGAAACCGTTCTGATTAGTGTCTAATTTACCTTCCTCTTCCGTCCATATCCTCATTCTCTCATTCACCATCTTTTCCAAGACTTTTCCCATACAATTCATTAGAGAGATAGGCCTAAGTGCCTTCTTTTGGGGTTTTGGGATAAGCTTTACCATCGCTCTTTTCCACCTCTCCGGTACCTTACCTCCTCTCCACACCTGATTATACAGTCGTAAGATCGCTTCTTTCCATGTCCTCGTCCATGTTTTCATAATATCATATCCTATCCCATCCTCTCCCGGCGCTGACTTCCTTTTTACCTTGGTCAAGGCCCAATCCAATTCGTTGAGGTCAAAGTCCCTGACCAACCATCCATCCTCTTGCTCCCCTTCTTCTTCTATTCCCTCATTTTCTCCCTCTCCCCTCTCATTCTGTTCCTCTCTCTTTTCCACTTCCGTTCCTTCTCCTTCATTCCTCCTAATCCTGCAACAATACTCCCTTTCTTCCAACTTTCTTACCTCTTCTTCCTCCAGTTTTTGTATCTCCCACATTCCTAAAATTCTCTGCTCTTCCGCCGCCACCCCCTTGGTTAGGCTCCTTACCTTGCTCCACATTTCTCCAATGTTACCATTGTGTCTTATGCTTTTCACAAATTCCTCCCACGTCTTTCTCTTCTTCCTCTTTATCGCCTTTTCCATGTTTGACTTAGCTTCTTTCAGCCTGTCCCAATTATCACTTCTAGATCTCTTACCCATTTGGATCGTCGCCTTCCTTCTCTCCTCCTTCAGCCTCTCACACTCATCATCCCGCCATGGTTGTCTTCTAATCTTCCTTTTCCTCTATGTGTTCCTTCTTCTTCCCTCCCGGGCCGCCTCCTCCACTTCTCTCTTCGCTTCTCTTCCTCTTCTACCCTCCCTGTAGCTATTCTCAATAACTTTTCCTAACAAATCAGTCACCTCTTCGCACTTCCTATCTACTCCTGTTTCTGATTCTGCTATCCTCCTCACCTCTTCCTCATTCCTTATTAACCCCTTCAAGAGTTCTACCTTATCGATTTTTTCACTTTTGTATTTCCTACTCCCCCTTCTTCCCTCTATCACCCGTAATTCTTCCCCCCATACGAATTCTATTACCTGGTGGTCAGACTATTACACACAAACCTCCACCTCTATTTTCCCCCTCCCCATCCTTTCTAATAAGGTGCCATCCTGAGATCCTACATATATCCTCTGGTCTTAGCCATATTTCCGTGATTGCCAAGACTTCAAAGTTTTCCCCCAACCTCCTAATTTCCTCTCTCTTATTCCTCATGCTCAGATCGAGAAGCGATCTCTCGACGACGCGAAAAGTCCGAACGTCGGGATCCTCGACCGTCCCGGATAGGGACCCCCGGGTTTTGCCCTTCTAACTTAAACTAATTTCCCTACGATACAAAGCCACTCCGATCAGTGGTCGCAGCGGACTCGGGATTTTTTCCTTTCGGAACGATACTAAACGACAACGATACTCAAAACACTCGGTAATTGCCAGATACAGAATAAGGATCCGCGAGCCCTTGCGCCGGTATTAGGACACCTCGTAGCCTTCCCCCACCCTCGGCCGGAGTCTCCGAATTCTAGCGAAGTCTTCTTCGACAGGACCTCCTCCGGCTCCACAGCCTCTCTTCTTCTATCGTAGGGCCGTAGCGGGGAAGCGGCAGGGAATCGGCACTTTCCTTCGGCGTACGTCATTTCCTCGCTGGCTTCTCTCCTCTTCCTCCGCAGCCTCTCTTGGTCTATCGGATGGTCCAAGCGGGGTAGCGGCAGAGCAGCGGCGTGTTTCCTCGACGTACGTCGCTCCCTCGTTGACAATGACGTCATTCTCCGGCGGTACATATAAAATAGTATAGCGGCAGAATTTGTTCTTACGATATTATACGCGCTTCGTTCTCTCCCTAGACGGTATCTGATGGCGACCTATGACCCGTCCGGTCTCCCGAGGAGGCTCCTTGTGACGTGTATAAAATACCACGTTACAACTTATGTGCTTTGTACCGATCGAAACCTCCGCGCACTTGTGCGGGACAACTTGGTAACAGTTATTGGACAGTTACAATAACCAAATAGAAGAAAAAGAAAGAAACGTACCCGAATTACCATATGTTCAAGATCGTTACGTTACATTAATACATTACTTACCGTGTTTGTCTGCTTCTCCTCTTTCGCCTTACTCTGCTCCTATACCTATCGTTCGCGATTTCACCCGGTATTACTTAGCCTAACGCTCTGTGGAATATTTCGCTGCGCACGGATCGCCTGTTTACTATCTATATGTATATAAAAAAAGAAGAAGGGTAGGGGTGCAGCAGTACCGTCGTACCGAATAATGTTGCTGTAGACTCCAGTTAAGAGAAAATAATATATATTTTATTTTAATAATGTACGTCGCGTGATTGTAGGGCGGCTCACACGCCGCGGGACACACCGCGTTATTGTGTTCGCCCCGGAAACTGCACGATATCGGGCGTCGATTGTTGGTTGCGACGGTATATCGCGGGATTATCGTCGCGTTATCGTTCTCGGCGACGTTGTCTCTCCTCATCTTCTTTCTGCCCGGTGGGAGTCGGCGCTTTTTTCGGTAGGTCGTCTCGGAAGGCGGAAGGCGGCTTTTCCCACAAGGGCTCGCGCCGAAATGTAGTGCTCGGCGCCTCTCCAAAATATTCGCGCCGGAATGTAGGGTATAGCACTTCTGGGGAACGTTCGCGCCGTGACGACTCCCGCGCCTCCTTTGACTGTTCGAGCCGGGATATCTTTGGCGCCTCTCGGGAGTGTTCGCGTCGGGATGTCGGTATTGGAGGTTTCTTCGGCTCGCCCCGGGATGTCGTGAGGGCTTCCTCTTCCCTCCACTCTGCTGCACATTTCGGGCATGTGCGCAGGGATATCCCCTTACGGCCGCATCGGTAGCAATAAGGATCTTTCTGGGGTTTCGGGCAC